TGTTCCCACCAAAGACATCAAGAACAAATCCGCTTCAATCGTGGAAAATATCAACAATAATGCTGCTTATAGGGCACACAGAAAATCACCGACGTCTTATCGATTCATATCTAGAAGATATTACTATCGATTGCTGTTTTGATCAGCGATTTTTTCCATTTTTTTCAACAACTCATTTCTTCCTTGTTACAATATTCGACGCCAGCGTTAAAAGGATATGACGTAGATACAGTACCTACGTCATAACCAGGGCAGGGTATAAGTTGTTCCCCAAATAACAGAGACTATTCTATAGAAATAGTCATCATTATTTTTATATATACAAGGAAACGTCTCACTTTATGAAATAAAGTAAAATAGAGGAGGAGGTGATGTTACGCTGTATTTTTTTCATTTAATTCTTTCAAAATACTTTTCGTAAAATTATTATATTTTCTTGTTTATGTTATAAAAAGTTTTTAAATTATTAAAATTCAGAAATATGTAAATTATCAATTAGCCAGACCCCTAACATGTTTATTGCAATTTCCGTGTCTGACACATTTATGTTAATTTACGTCACGTGTATAACAACATGAATATTATCATTAATTTTATCTACGACATTTATTTGAAGTTTTCTTATCTGTTTATCTGTTTGACTTTAAGAAAGGAATTAACAGGCCGCTGACTTTTGACATCTGGCGTGTTAATCAGTCTTAATTGAACCATTTTTATTGGTCAAATTTATAATTTCATATTTAATAAAATGTTTTTTCATTGGTTAATATTTTCCTGTTTAAGGGTCATTTTTTATTGGTTAATTATTAAAACCTTTGTTACAATTATTTTTGTATTAATAAAAGAGACAAAACTTTTTAATATAAAAGGATTCAGGCAGTCAGACACTTAACATGTGACGGTTAAAGTTTAAAGTGTTAGTGCCGCAGTTTTCTGCGGTGCATTTTAATGTACACGTACATATGTATTTGTTATTTTGACCGGTCAGAACTGTTGGTGTAAATATAAATATATAAAAGGAAACTATAATAAAAACAAAAAAACGGATCTACTAAGTTGTGTGTTTATATAATGCCTACAGGATTTTTAAATTAATACCAAAGATAAATAGACAACTAATAATTACATGTTAACGGATTATTACAAAACAGAGAAATTACGGCACAGACTAAATTATCTATTAAAGTATAGCATGGACGTGGAAACCTACCCCCCTCCAGTACCACCCGTGAAAACCCCGCACCACACAAGGGTAAACAAACTGAAACACACACACACATGATGATTTTTGTTTTCGATTTTCGTATAGACCGTGCATTTCAAACTATATTTTACCTGCCAGGATCATCTGTCCTTTAGAAATGCATTAGTAGTTTTATATGAAATAAGTATTTAAGTTTAAAGTGAATATGTTTGAAATTAGCCGTAACCAAAAGGTTAATCAGAACGCAAACATCTTAATTAGAGAAATAAACGGAATATCTTTGCAAACTGTATCTATGATCATCTGCCCTTTGATATTGCATCGTATGATCATAGTAAACAAATAAACCACATTTAAAGTGAATTCGGTAGTGTCTGAGAAAATAAATGAAATTACTTAAACCAAATTCTGAGAGCGACAATACCAGAGTACCCTTTAATCTGTTGTCAATCAGGGTTACAAATGAAAATGGGAAACAAAAGAAAATACTTATCTATTGAGAATTTAGTATCAATTATCCTTTCTAGCCTAAAGATTACATTATTTATCACCTCAAAATCTCGATATTTAGGTTAATAAAAGAAAACAAGTAAAACAAAGATGGCAATTACAATGAATATAACTATGAGAATGTTAAAAAGTAATATAATACTACTTTAATCATGATTTTGACATGAATTTACATCTTGCAACATTTAACGGTAGTGTTGCGACATTTAACGGTAAGGGAAATTCGTGCAACATTTAACGTTAACATTATGACATTTAACGGTAAATGATTTTGCAACATTTAGCGGCGGTTGCGACATTTAGCGGCAATGGTGCGACATTTAGCGGCAAGTGCGACATTTAGCGGCGTTGCGACATTTAACGGCGCCACACATATCCTTCTGCATTCGGAACTGCCTCGGCTATTATCTATAATAACCTCGGAAACAATCCGGATTGAAAGTAGTTCTACCACGTTGTTTACAGATGTAAACAGAAACAGAGATAATGTAAAACGAATGTATATATTTGACATCTTATGTCTGTTCCGGTACTCTCATGCTTGAAAATATGTCTGACAACAATTTGTTATTCAAATATGCCCACTGATGTTCAATTTTAAAAAAATCCGACTAAATGTCAGCAGGTTGGTTTTTTGTACTTTCGGTTTCTACAGCCATATTAGTAAATATATAAATAATGTATTGTTTGCTTATGTACCTATGAATTCACTTATTTTAGGTGGACTTTTACTACATATAATGTAAATAAACTTGTCAACAACTCTCAACATTAAATTACTATTTGTTTACATGTTTAGTTTCTTAGCGTAGGTTTGACCGGAATACCGCATCCGTTCTGTGTATTCATACTATTGTGTTCGAGGTCCTTATCCGAAGACTGACGGAAAGGGCCGAGTAGTTTGATCGTTCTGTTCCTTCGTTTACAAAAATGGGATATCAGTGTTCATTTCTTTCTTTGTTTTTCGTTTTATAAAAAGTTTTTAGAAAATATTTTAATCAAATTTGAACGGTAATTATAAGCTAATGATACCTCTATAACGAAAAAAACAACATTTTATTTGTTTTTGAACAGAAAAGAGTTTATCGTTTATCGTTATAACAAAGATAGGGTACATCGTTAAAAAACATAGGGTACATCGTTATAACAAACATAGGGTACATCGTTATAACAAACATAGGGAGCATCGTTATAACAAACATAGGATACATCGTTTTAACAAACATATAGGGTGCATCGTTATAAAAAACATAGGGTACATCGTTATAACAAACATAGCGTACATCGTTATAACAAACATAGGGTACAACGTTATAACAAACATAGGGTTCATCATTATAACAAACATAGGTTACAACGTTATAACAAACATAGGGTACATCGTTTAAACAAACATAGTGTACATCTTCATAAAAAACATAGGGTACATCGTTATAACAAACATAGGATACATCTTTATAACAGTCATAGGGTTCATCGTTATAACAAACATAGGAAACATTTTTATTATAAACATTGAGTACATCGTTATAACAAACATAGGTTACATCGTTATAACAAACATAGGGTACATCGCTATAACAAATATAAGGTACATCGAAAAAAAAACAATAAAGGATCATCGTTATAACAAACATAGGATACATAATAATTACAAATATAGGGTACATTATTTTAGCAAACATAAGAAAGTCGTTATAACAAACATAGATACATTGTTTTAACAAAGATAGGGTACAATGTTATAACAAAGATAGGGTACATCGTTATAACAAAGAAAGGAACATTGTTTTAACAAAGATAGGGTACATCGTTATAACAAAGATAGGGTTCATCGTTATAACAAAGAAAGGAACATTGTTTTAACAAAGATAGGTACATCGATATTACAAACATAGATACATTGTTATAACAAAGATAGGGTATATTGTTATAGCAAAGATAGGGTGCATCGTTATAACAAAGATAGGAACATTGTTTTAACAAACATATGTACATAGTTATAATAAACATAGGGTTCATCGTTATAACAGAGATAGGAACATTGTTTTAATAAAGATTGGTACGTCGTTATATCAAACATAGGGTTCACTATTATAACAAAGATATATCTATCGTTATAATAAACATAGGATCATCGTTATACCAAACAAAGCGTTCATCGTTTTAACAAACATAGGTACATTGTTATAACAAACATAAGCACATCATAATAACAAACATAGACACGTCGTGATAACAATCACAGATAAATCGTTTTAACAAAGATACATCGTTATTATTATAACAATCATTGGTACATCGTTATAACAAACATAGGGTTCATCGTTACAGAACAAACATAGACAATGTACATCGTTATAACAAAGATAAATAAATTCTTAGAACAAACAAAGAAACATTGTACTAACAAAAAAAGGTGAAATGCAATATTAAGTCACATAATGGGTAATAAAAAAAAGAAGTTCAAACAATACAAAGCAAATGTTTATGTAAAAGAAATACTTAAGGAGAAGTCAAAAAATAAAAATAATTATATTTTAGATTTATGGACTTTATATTATGCAGTCGCTATGGATAGGATATCAGCCACGTGCTTGTTTGTTTGTTGTTGTTTTTTTGTTGTTTTTTATGAAGAACATATAAATTCTTTATTAGTATTATGCTTATACTGTGTTTTGATTTACGTTCTTCAAATATGTGCATGTTTGGAGAAGAAATTTGTTTTTATTTCACTGACTTCCTTATGTATAATTTATTATACATATTTACGAACTCTAATTCAATTTTATCTGTCCACAATAGTTATTTATTGGTTGTACAAGCACCTCATCCTGTTAATCTTTGATTCGTTCACATGCACTTAAAATCCATCTTTTTATCACTACTATAAAATAAATAAACAAAATTGAAGAATTGTTTTTAATAGACAGCTATCCTCCCCTCATCACCCCTCACCCCCCCCCCCGCCCCCCCAAATAAAAAAAACAAAAACAACAAAAAAACAAACAAAAAACACGTTTATCAACTTAAAAGTTGACTTTACATACTTTACACTTTTTTAATCTAAAGAAATTCAACTTGCATCGTGTATAAATTGCAAAAGCCTTCCTTCCGGTTAAATCTGTCATGTTGTAGAGTTAACTGCTTGAAAATATAAACCGCTTTCATGACTATGTGAGACGCGCAATAATATAACCACTTAAATTCTGACCAATCAGAGCGGCGTTCAGTTTGACTGCATCGCAATCCGCAACAAGGGAGGTTTAAAGCTTTGGATACTTCATTACCATCAAGGGGTGTGGTGAGAGAACAAGTATTTTTTTTTAATACCGAGGTTAACTAAAGAAAATTAAAAAATGGGTGAATTCGCACACGGATTGTTTGGCTGTTTCACCAACTGTGGAGTTTGCATAATGACCTACTTTTTACCGTGTGTTACTGCCGGACAAACCGCCGAGAAAGTTGGAGAATCATGTTGTCTTTACGGCTTCCTCTCTATATTAGGACCTATCGGAATCTGGTCAAGAGCTAAAATAAGGGGAAAGGTCAGGGAAACAAAGGGAATCGAAGTAAGTTCTGTTGCTTTTCACTTGTATCATCAAACATTTTAACGGAAATGAAAAGTTGAATCGAAAGTTCGTTAAAAAAATGTCATTTTGTCTTAATATATTCCAACAAACTTTCATTTTATAGTGGTAATAAAAAGAAACTTAAAAACACTTTATGCACGTTTTATAATTCACATATACTCTAATAACGTAAGTTCTTTGCTCTTTATGGCATTACGATATTGTCAAATCTTCACTCCAGTAAAGTTTTGCGTTATATTGAAATATTCAGGACGAAAAACCCGACCTGACTTTGTGCTAAATTCAAGTCTTAAGTTTCAACAGTTATTTTTTAATGAGAAAAACGTGTTTGTCCTTCACATGCAAAGGGATTTTGTATTAAGGGACATCTAATACATATATAAAGAGTCTGCTCTATTTTGCATAAAAATAATTTCAGGGGTCTTGATTTAATACGTAGTTTTCCGAATGTAATCAATGTATTAATATTTTTTTAGTATTTTTGGATTGGCGATTTTTTACGGAATCGAACATCGTGCAGTGCAATTAAAGTACACTTTCTTTTTAGGGAAAAAATACCATAATGTTCATTTCATTTTGATCCGGTCAGGATTAACAAATATACAAACAAATATGCAAACAGCTTTCGTGTGTGTCTAAGTTTTGCGGCTGGCTAAATTAATTTATTTTAAGGCAAATATTCGAGTAAATTGATATAAGTAAATATTACAGGAATTGACGGCCCTGATCCTTCAAATAAATATGTGCAATGAAAATAAACTGTATTTCTGTTAATGATTTATTAAATTATCTTAGTGCATTACTAATGTAAATAATTTTGCGATTCATAATGTCTCTTGTCAGCGACACATTGTTAAAATAATTTGATAAAACATAGAAAACTATATCAGCGATATTAATCAGTAATTTGAATATCGAATATTTGATAACATTGGTTGTAAGAAACGTTACGTCACGTTGTTGATTATGGTCAGCAGTTATTACGACATACAGCATGATAAATGGAAAGATTAACTGATAAAGGCATGAACGCCCACTGGGGATAAATATAATAAGAGCCTGGCTTCCCTACGTGTCAAACTTTTGATGGCAAACATAACCTTAATAGCCCCAGGACCATAACGCCACGGGTGTCACACAATCGACTTTATCTAATTTTATACAGTTGTTGATCATTTCCGGTTATAGATTTTATTCATCGCTTCAGGCGGTAACTAACACACACAATAAAAACCTATTTTCGCGTGAATAGAAAAATATGTCTCACGAGTGCAGTTTCTTTATTAATTCAAACTGCAACTTTGTCAGAAGTAAGCAGCTGAAGTCAGCATTTTAGAACGATTTAATACATGTATATATTAGTATAATATATCTATTTTATACATGTATATATTAGTATAATATATCTATTTTGTCACATTAAAGTGTCTATCATTTGAGCCGATTGTTTATAAAGTGTTATTTCCGGGTCATTAATTAAAAGGAGTGATGCAAACCAAACGTTCGTCAATTTATAAAAGGATCACGATTTGAAAGAGGGGAATTTAATATTAATCCGTTATTAAGTACTACATTCTTAAAATAAACATTTTACTCCCATAAATATATACTGGGAATAGTAATTCGAACATCACTTAAACTGTTTTAATATATTGAACTATTTAGTCTTGAATCAGTGCATGTTGACACATTTGTAACAAAAAGTTGTTCCTTTAAAAAAAAAAACTTGGGTAATGTCAAGTGGTGTACATGAAAAATTCATGTCCGGGTTCGTTTGCTCATTCGAGCTAAATAAAGTCTTGTCCACTACTTGTGATCAAGCAGCCGCGTTCTGTTCCCGAAACGCGCCGTTTCAGAGGTCCCGTACTTATTGGTCATTTTCAGCAACATGTGTTATAACGTACTCTGCATATACTTTCAGGGATCATTTGGTATGGACTGTCTTTTGGCTTGGTTCTGTGGTCTATGTGCATTAGTACAGGAAGCAAATGTAAGTATACTTAGTAAATGCGAAACTTCAAAACTTGCATTGCTACACTTTCATAATGTTCCTTATTCTCGAGATTTAATAATGTTTAGTTTTCGTTTAAATGACCCTTTTCTGTTTTCTTGTTATTTTTCGCTTATTCGTATAAACAATATGATAACACGTAATTAAGACCTAATCAGAAACTTCCGAAATTGCCTATTTCCTGTGCTCAAGTGTTTTGGATGGACTAATTTATTGACCTTGAGCGTTTTGTTTTTCTTGTTGCATTTAATATATATATATATTGAAAACGGGTGATTCTGTGAGATGGACTTCTGCTTTATTTGTTAAGAATAAATCACTATAATCAAATTTCCTACAGAGAGTTGACTAGATCTAGTGTTTAGTGAAGTCATATGATCGATGTATAAAAAGTTTTGCCAGGTCCAATATTCGGCGCATGTAGAATTTTAGCAAGGTAATTATGTTTCAATGTCGAATTTTCCACAGATACTTGGGGTTTGGAGCTCAAAACGCCTTTAAAATCCAAATAAAATGCATATTTGTCAATCCCAGGACATGTACTGATCATATATATCAAAAAATCTTAATATATGCCGTTTTGAAAAAAAAATCATATTTCAACAACTATAATAATACACAAGATAAAAATGTTCGCCGGAAAAAATCCGCACCCCTACCGTCATAATCACCATGTATTTTATTCCATTTCCAATATTTTCACATAATCCTTTGGTCCATCGACACAGAAGATATAGTTCTTCACGATGATGGTCAATTTTAAACTTCAACGGTAATATAAACAACGCAACAGCCGAATTAAACATCAATATTATCGCCGTTTTTTTTCAACGACAAAATCTTTCGATAAATTCAATGGACCAGACGGCTATGAACGAAGCTATCCGATTATGTGGTTCCCAAACTTAAAAGCGCTGCGCATTTTGCACACGGCAAAGCTGGGGCCACATAATCGGATAGCTTCGTTCATAGCCGTCTGGTCCATTGAATTTATCGAAAGATTTTGTCGTTGAAAAAAAACGGCGATAATATTGATGTTTATTCGGCTGTTGCGTTGTTTATATTACCGTTGAAGTTTAAAATTGACCATCATCGTGAAGAACTATATCTTCTGTGTCGATGGACCAAAGGATTATGTGAAAATATTGGAAATGGAATAAAATAACATGGTGATTATGACGGTAGGGGTGCGGATTTTTTCCGGCGAACATTTTTATCTTGTGTATTATTATAGTTATTGAAATATGATTTTTTTTTTCAAAACGGCATATATTAAGATTTTTTGATATATATGATCAGTACATGTCCTGGGATTGACAAATATGCATTTTATTTGGATTTTAAAGGCGTTTTGAGCTCCAAACCCCAAGTATCTGTGGAATTTTCGATGCACAAGGGAGTAAAATCGGTGCACCCCGGCTCTAACATAACGAACTTTGTTTATAACATTAAATCTAACCATACATGATATATATCGGCTGATGCATTTAATTCTTAAGACAATATTTGCCAATATGAACGAAACACAGTTTTTCTATTTGTGTTCGGACTTTTCATTTGTCAGTCTGTAAGGCCCAAATGTTTGTGTGGATTAAGCTTAACTAAGTGGGTGATAACCTGACACCTACATATTTCACATAACATTGTTTCTTACCTCTGTCATAAGATACGGAGATTTTGTCATTTTGTAAGAATGTCTTGTTTGAGTCCACGCAATAATTTTAATCCAGACGCAATGTATTATTGAACTTAATCCACGACCCTTTGTGCAAATATTGCCCGAACTACGCCATTTGCTTTAAAAACCAATAATATTGTTCATACTTAAAAGATTATTTGGATTATTTAGTACGTTTTACAAGATATTCTTATTGCAAACATGGTATTACTTTATACCAATATATTGAAGTTAAAAGTACAGTATATACATGTGCAGTAAAAACTATTTGGCAGCTCTTGGTCGACCTACATTTGTCTCAAAATTATTCATTATGCTACATCGAGTTATAATATTAAACTTCACATGAACTGTTACACTACATTTTTGCTAGATTTTGTAGGTCAGAAAATAATCGAACATGTTTGTTAAATAAGCATCAAGATAAAAGTATTAAAATGTTAATTAAAAAAAAAAAAAAAAAAAACTGATATAAATAGCAGTATTGTATTGGAACAAATTAATGGGTGGCAGGAGGGAAAGAAAAAGTAGAACTTTATCTGTTTTCGCTTTGACATGGTGTATGTGACGCATTTGTAGCTGCAGATATCGCGCAAAGCCTGTTCAGACATTTATATTGATGTCGTCATAACAAAAGATTACTGTTTACCCGTTGCTTAGTATGGATTTATGACACTGGAATTTGAGATATAAAAGAATAATGGAACACACTCTGTTTAATGTATAGTCCTCATCGATTTAAAAAATATATCGGCCATTATTGATCACGTGATTACGACTTCGTCAAGCGCAATTGATCGGGTGATTCACTGAAATGAAAAAAAATGTTGAGTGCCATAGGCTTTTTACTTTTTAATGAATAATTTGACTGATAAATGAATAGATGATTATGAAGCTTTTTAGATGGTTTTATATGAGTCTAAAATAAGTCTAAAAATAATTCTTAAAATAATTCCACACGAACAACGATATTTAAATAACGGGTACTGTATATTACAAGAAAATAGAATTAAAAAGAAAAACTCTTTATTTCCGATATTTAGCGTTCATTTGGCTTATCTTACTTCAAGATAACTCGCAAAGATCGGCATAAACTTATTTTTTCAATGGCAGAGCTTATCAAGCGTGTAACACGTATGGCTGGGCTATATACATGTTGTTAGTTATTAAGATTTTATCTGTATACCGCCTCTGGTACTAGTAGATAGACCCTGGGATTGATAATCGGACATAATTAAAATTATGTTTGCTCAAGGGTGATAACTGACCGCATACGGATAACCCCCAACCAACGTATTACGTAATCTCAACGATTAATGACGTCACACAAACATCCAAGGTGGTGGGAACCGGGAAAAAACTAATTTTTGCCCTCACAAAAAGGCGGCATTAATATTTCGGCTTCGAAATCATCTGTCAGTCTGTGAACAATTACACAGGTTTCTCTTAATGATAGAAAAGGATGTACACACTAAGTATTGACATGAATATTTTACATGATTTTTTCCACTCTAGTGATTTAGTGGTTAAGAGCGATTGATAAAAATTTATTATGTCCCACTTAAGATGGTAATATCACAAACTTATTGCTCAGGTTATATCTCTCATCAATTTTTATCAAAGAAAACTGACCTCGATCTGACAGTAGTAATACTAAATGGACTGGCTTTATGTGCGTGAAAGTTTAGTTATAGTCGCGAATATTTAATATCAAATTCTATTAGTACGCCTTTATTTCCCTTGTGACACGAAAAAGACTGAAGATAATGTATCATTTGATGTAGAGACTTGTGTGCAAAGTTTCATATGAGCCGTGTCACGACAAAATCAACATAGTGCGTTTGCGACCAGCATGGATCCAGACCAGCCTGCGCACCCTCGCAGTCTGATCAGGATCCATGCTGTTCGCTATCAGTTTCTCTACTTGTAATAGGGTTTGTAAGCAAACAGCATGGATCCTGATCAGACTGCGCAGGCTGATCTGGATCCATGCTGGTCGCAATCCCATTATGTTGGTTTTGTCATGACGCAGCTCATATCATTTGCTCAATCCGTTTATTTTTCAGAGTAATCATTTTTATTGTAAAAAAACGAGCTAAAAGCTGAAAAGCTATGTAGCGCTGAAATGCTATGCAACGCTTTTAGCTCAAATATGTTTGATTCACAAAATACGATTTTGAATTTTTTGCTTAGTATATTTCCTTTTTATCTTTTGCTTAAGTGTTCCAAATGATCTATATAAGAAATAAAAGATTTTTTTTATGCTTTTGAACCTCAGTCGAGTTCTTTTAATGTCGGGCAAATGTCACAATGTCAGGCAAATGTCACAATGTCAGGCAAATGTCACAATGTTAGGCAAATTTCACAATGTTAGGCAAATGTCACAATGTTAGGCAAATTTCACAATGTTAGGCAGATGACACAATGTCAGGCAGATGTCACAATGCCAGGCAAATGTCACAATGTTAGGCAAATTTCACAATGTCAGGCAAATGTCACAATGTTAGGCAAATGTCACAATGTTAGGCAGATGACACAATGTCAGGCAAATGTCACAATGTCAGGCAAATGTCACAATGTTAGGCAAATTTCACAATGTTAGGCAAATGTCACAATGTCAGGCAGATGTCACAATGCCAGGCAAATGTCACAATGTTAGGCAAATGTCACAATGTTAGGCAAATTTCACAATGTTAGGCAGATGACACAATGTCAGGCAAATGTCACAATGTTAGGCAGATGTCACAATGCCAGGCAGATGTCACAATGCCAGGCAAATGTCACAATGTTAGGCAAATGTCACAATGTTAGGCAAATTTCACAATGTCAGGCAGATGTCACAATGCCAGGCAGATGTCACAATGCCAGGCAGATGTCACAATGCCAGGCAAATGTCACAATGTTAGGCAAATTTCACAATGTCAGGCAGATGTCACAATGTCAGACAAATTTCACAATGTCTGGCAGATGTTACTTAGTTTAGAGCTAAAAGTTTAGACAGGAGCTATTCTTAATTGTTAACTTCTCAATTATGTTGTACGATGTGTCCGACATTGAAATCCATTTCACAGTGCCAATAAAAGAAAAGAAAACACCAACAACAACAACAACAACAAAAAAGAGACACAGAGTTTGGCCCTTAACTGGTGCAGAGTATTGGCTGTCTTTGTTTGCAAACATTTGTAAGCTTTTAAGTTGAGAACTATTTTCTATGTCACTCTTAAAATATTTTTACTGGACATACATTTATAATTTAAAAAAAACTGTTATGACTTAAAACATTTTTACTTAGATATAAGATATAGGTAAAAAGTAGACAACAATAATGTTAAACCCGTAGACCGTAGTATACGTGTTACAAAATGTAAGGTTTAAAATATGTTAATACCCTGATATTGTGAATGTAACCGGTCTTTTTTTATAAATGGTTGCATGGCAACCGAATGATACGTGCTTACTCAAACGAGAATTATACTATTTAATGACAACAATATAAATTTACCTGAAAACCAAATAGTTTGTGTTATCATGTGGAAAGAAATACAATTCAGTGGTATGAAAATAAAGAATTTCAAGGTCGAGGAAATATGATCACACAATCGTGTTGTTGATATTGTAACAAAATGTATCTTTAAAGCTGACCGATATTCGTATTTAATTTAATTTTCATTGAAAAAAGAAATATCTTTTTAAGATGTTCGGCCACGGTAAACCTGGTTAAACCGCTCCTTGATATTTTCTTAGCTTAAAGTATCATAGCACAAAGATTGCCTAGGAAAACAATGGCCAATAGCCCCTAAATCTACCGGAAGTAAAGGTAAAACACAAACAGACTACGACCGACTCCATTTGTCAAAAAGTAACGAAAATACACAAAGGTACGGCTGTGGTGGAGGTTAACACATAATATGCGAGAAAAGTCCATGTCACAAAATAACCAATATTAGTTTGATACAAATATTGAGTAAGACATTTACTAACCGTACTTTTTTTATTATTTTACAGACTATGGAAGGGGCACAAGCTCAGTCGATGGCGCGTGAATAGACAGCATCATCAAGTCACGTGATCTCGGCTCGTCATCATGGGAAAGAACCGAATTCATCCGTGTGATTTTTTACTCGTCTTATATTGAACCCTTACACTGATGCTATCTCAAAACTTAGTATACTTTATATAAAAACGGCAATCTTGTCCTTTGTGATATTTATGTGTAATCTTTATATAATTATATAGTGAAAACTCAGATTGACTCAAATCAACAGAAATTGTGATAGATTTATATATGGAACAATCCACACATCCTAGCAGGGAATCCATTTCTTTTTCACAGATGAATCCTGTATTAAAACAAACTGCTAATCAAGGTAGTTTCGGGTTTCAATGAAACAAATAATGCGTTTTTATATTTGTTTATTATATTTCTATAATTTTTTTTAAAATAAATTTTGTATAAAACATGTAAATGTTTGTATTTTATGTTTTCCCGGAACGGTTCAAAGGGATTAAAGCTATATGAGTATGTCTGTCATAAGACAGTTTTGTATTCTCTGATAAGAGAAAATCCTCCGGAAGTAAGAAGTTTATCAATTTATGTGCGCAGCGCATGCGCGAAGTCACCACTAAATCATTTAAATGGCAGTTGAATAATCTGTAGGGCGGGAGACTTTTTGTTCGAACTGTGCACAAGTCCATAAGAATTAGTAATATTTGAGTTTATTTATACTCGTCACCGGTTGCGCATGTGGGCGAGTTCTCCAGAACAGTATAAGTCATTATAGTGCAAGATACTGATACAGAAAGATGCCCCAGTGCCAGAAGCTTCTCCTGGTTCTTTAGCGTGCCAAGTGTTTAAGCACTCATACACGGGACCTCGATTTAAAATCTCATTCGAAAAACTGAATCGAACCCACAATGTCGAGAATACAAGTCTTGCGCTCTAACTGATTGAGCTATGCTAACTTGCACATGTGAGTGTAAAGGTTTTGAAATTTCACCACTTAAAGCCACAGGCAGTCGGTGCGTAACTTGGATAGTATTCATGAACATGACCTCGCCCACTTTGATGCACCATTCCTCATATAAAGTTTTATAATTATGTCGTGTAAATTGTTCAGTGTATTTACTGAATCAGAGCAAATACCGGTAAAGTTTAGCGCAATTTCTATTGTCGTTCTTTCATCCATTCATGAAATTATGGTATGGCATAAATACAAATGTACATGGACGATAAGTGCCGACAAGTTGGGTTTGAACTCATTTTATTAAGGTCGAGAAGACAAGGCGATCGTGCAATTATTATTAAGTATTATAGGCGAAGTCGTCACTACTAGCATTTGAATGTGCTGATCCACTTAAATTAACAAACACACAGACACATCATAATCACTCACACGTGACTCACAAGTTTTTTAAATGCTGTACGACAAGTAACGTATGTGGAACTTGATGTATGTACATGCCATGGTCGAAATCTGCAACCTTCCAATTACGAGGGGACATGACGCAGAACCATTAATAGCTGTATCTTGAAAAGTCATACTTTCAGAGTAGTATGAAGATATTCAAAGACACAAGATCCTTATTAAAGGTTCAGAATGCCATGCATTAATGCATAATGTACTTATACATATTTATAAATGAAAAAAAAAATCGATTACGTTTTATTTTAGTTAAGCAGAGAAACTATACATAAAACTGAGTTCACTTATCGACATAGCCTTGAACATTTTATGAAACAATCTAAATGACATTTGCAAGGTAAAACTCATTGGCAAGTGTTATGCAATAATCTGAACGCTTCTCTATCGGGTATGCCATTCAGTAATGAGTTAATCAATGAAATAAACCACTTTAACCTTCACGATATAAATAGCCTAGGTCACGATCAATGCGATCGTTCATTTTTAATGAATGTTTAATTGCTACACTACTGCACCTGAACTGCATATGGGATAAAATGTTCTCGTCTGCTGTTTGCATAGGGATATGAAATGCTTATTTGACCATCTGAACACGCTAGAAAAAAATCGCACCAGCAAATATTATATATAGACTACCAGAAACTAGGAGCAAACTGAGCAACCTAATGTTTTCAAAAAGATTATTCAATACAAAGAACTGAATAAATTTGGACGCTTTTATACTAACTATTGTACGACGGATTACTAAAATACATGCGTCTGAAAATTAAAAAGACCCCTATGAAATGAATGATTGTAAAAAATTGAAAAGAAAGTTTCGGTTTACGATATGATATCAAATAACTCATGAAATTTAAGTATCAAATTGTAGACCAAAATTCTCGATTGTTGAAAATGGTTTTCATATTTTATAACAAGATATATCCTCTTCAGATACATTAGTATATTTACTTTACGCTTGAGTTGGTAACAGCGAATTATTTTACTAATGTACGTGTATAAAATGTGATCGGTACTCCTTGACACTCTGACGTGGTTAGAAGTATTTCCAAATGGAGAATATGAAAATTTGGGATAGTCACCAATATTTATACGCATGTACATGTTTCATGTTAAGATATACGACTGTCTTGATTGAGAATTGACAAATCTGATAGTTCAGTTGTATAGGTCATATTTTAAAAGTTTAAAATTGAATTGTTAGACCAAGTATTCATTTTGGAAACATTAAAACATGTATGTTGTACTTACAAACGCTATCGTAAAGACATGAAATCCGGCAATGATCGTCACCTTCCGATATGAAATAACGGTTATAAACAAGAAGATTGCGTAAAATGCCGATATTTGCCGAATTTATCGTAACTACGAATGAAATAAATAATATTATGGTTTCGAAAAATACGATATGTTCTCTCTCTCCTCGGTACGTGCACGTCGTGGAGAAGGCTCATGGCTTCAGCAGATGATTGAATATGAAAACGGAGAGTTCGCGTGTATTCTACAGCTTGGGGTTACGTTTAAGGTGAAACGACTTGGTTTGTATGAAGTTTGCTGCCGATGTCCTGACTAGAGCCGAGGAGAGTGGCCCTAAAATATGACAGGAACGACGATGAAGGTACTAGCTAGGATTCGTGAGCCCCTAGTATGTAGAGACAGCTTGAACGGCGGCGCCCTTCGCTGGCACAAAAAGCCAATCAGGGCTCGCTGAAAGTTGTACAATCTCAAATTTATATCTTACCTGATACTCTAAGGCATGAGGGCATGACTGGTGACATGTCCGCGGTCCGGACTCAACAGCAAATGCAGCTTTATGTGCCTTAACGGGCGTTAAGCATTAAACATAGGATACACACATAGATTACATATTGTCCGGAACTCAGCAAATTTTAGTGTTCCTCGTCAAGTGCATTACCATTTTACAATAATATGTATGACCAAAGCATTGCACTTATAATCGATATATTAGCCAAGTATTCTTTTTGTTGGAAAAACCCTTTCGGAGTTTTTTTTGACATTGTTAATTGTACCCCCGAATTAGCTGGGAAAACACCATTATTTTAATTTCTGGATTAGGCCCATCTTTCAGGCAGATCATGAAGTATATGGTATTCCATTATCTGTATTAATGAAACTATTTTATATTCAAATTAGGAAGTGCATGAACGTCTGGCTTTTGGTAGCGTTTTGATTTTGCTATACGAGCTGCATGAAAATATACAAAAAAATTCAGTTTCGATATTTTCTTTCATATAAATTATTTTAAACTTGACTAAATTCTGATTATTTAAGGTATACCCAGCCATGTACGAAATAGTTGATAAACGTGTACATGTAAATAAAAAAGTACAAACCAGGTTTAACTAGCAAATTAAACTACGAATGTTTTATGGAACGCCATAGCTGCCTCATGTTATTACATTTCTTTTTATCTTGTCCAGAAATCGTCTTATTATGCCAGATATAAGCGTTGTAATGCCATTGTAATTTGTCGACTTGTCTAAACATTGCCTTATTATACCAAACAGTTTATCGCTCTGCGCCGGCTCTGGTCACGTGATACTAAATTTTGACAACATCGCATCTGGACAGGATAACACGATTATCTGACATAATGAGACGGGATTTAGACATGTTAACGTCATAAACTGGCAAGTCAACGATACTGTATTACATAATGATACTGTGTTTCAACAAGTAAACACCACATTTGAAAAGGAAAAAAGATACTTCGCCATAAAAGGACGATGTTTAGTAAAAATAACACCGAACCTTGACAAAATTAAATGACACTTTGACAAAAAGATAGTAATTTTAAACAAGTCATCACCACGTTTCAACAAAATGATATGACTATTTGACATAATAAGACGAAGATAGACAAGTTGAATCTGCATTTGGACATAATAGCATGCCAGTTTTAACAGTTCATTCCCTGCGGTCTGGAGACCGCAGGGTATTGGTACGCGTTTAACTTTTGAGGCATGGAGGAGCACGTGACCTGTTTTCGGTACATGGAGGAGCATGTGATCTGTAAACCGTACATGATTGGTTAATTGACCTTTTCGAAAAACTGGCTAAATACCGTTTGCCGGTACGTTACGGATTTACCTCCAGGGAATAAGTCAGAATAACACCTAATTAAGAACAAAAAACCATTACGTGATGTTTCTAATTTTCTATAATTATTTTACCGTTTAAGGTGGAACACTTGAATGATGTGTTTGAAAATTATCAATGTTTCTTTAATATGTATCTCAAATTTTACAAACAATAAATTGTTTATACTTCGACCTTCTCCGGTCATCAACAGTCACCAGTCTTCTATATTGATCGATTATTGTTAACTATATTCCTGAAACAAACGTTTATTAATCCCCCCCCCCCCAAAAAAAAACAAAAAAAACCAAAACAACAACAACAACAAAAAACAGTGTTGAAAATAGTTTAATGAAATATCTTTATATCATTTAAAATGTTCCCCGCAGGAAACCATTTTACTTGTAACCATAATTGATAAAGATACCACCACTATTTCACATAATAAGACGGTGTTTAGGCCGGTTAAAATAAAGTTTGGACAAAATAGCATGGCAATCTGAGAAAATATTAAAGGCAGTGTTTAGACATGTCAATACCATCTTTCGACAAGTCAACAATACTGTTTGACATAATAAAATAACGTTTTCACAAACAAACAAAATTTATTGGCAAGTCAACATTAGTATTTCACATAATAAGTATATTTTTAGACAGGTTAACAAAAATTTTAGACAAGATAGCATGATGTTTTGGAATATCACCACCTCATACAAAACAACAAAACATTTTGACAAAACAGGACAGCACTCAACCGGGTCAATATAACGGTTGAACAAGATTTCACTACTAGCCAACATAATTATATAATAAGACAAAAGTTTGACAAGTTGACACCAAGTTCCGACAAGATAACACTACTGTTTCACATAATAAGACGATTTCTAGACAAATTACCACCACAGTTGGACAAGACAGCATGCTATTTTGACATAAAAGACATT